TAATTAAAAAAAAAAAAATCTTAAAAAAAAAAAATTAGAATGCCAGTTATCATAAACCAAGTATTTTAATTCTAACTAGTTTTGATTTTAAAAATTAAAATCCCCATTTAGCCCCAGTCTCTTAAATTAATTAATTTTTTTTTTTTACTTCCTAGATTGTGAATAAGGCCTCCTGGGAACGAGGCTTTGCCCATGGAAGTGTCTATAAGTCTGAGTTCATAGATCTCTCTGAAAAAATTAAGCAAGGAGATGATAGTCTGGTGTTTGGAGTCAAACCTGGTGACCCACGGGTTTTGCAGAAGTTAGATGATGATGGATTGCCATTTATCGGAGCACAGCTACAGTATGGAGATCCGTATTACGGCTACATGAACCTTAACACCGGGGAAAATTTTGTGATGTACTATAAGTAAGTTCAGATACTCAATGCTATCTTGTAAAGGCTGTTTCTCAGTGAAATTGCTGACGGTCAGTGAATGTTATCTTCCAACAGGAGAATTCTGGAGAAGATAGAAGGGATGGTTTAATTCCCGACTCAGTCATAACTGAATTGGCATTTCTTAAATGAGACAAAGTTCTGTGTCTGCTCTGTGGCCTTTGTTTTTCTACTTCTCTTGTCAGGCTGTTACAGTTTGATAAGTTAACCTATGATCTATTTCAAAACTGTATTATTCAAACTTGATCATCTCTCTCATACATGTTAGGAAATTCCCTAGGAATTTCCCTGTCAAGTTAATTGTGCCTTTTATTACAATTAAAAATGTCTTTGTTTATTTTAAATCTATAAAGTTGTTTCAACAATAGGTCTTCATCATAGTTTTTAAGTTGCCTCTGTCACTCTTCTTTCAGATGAGCATAGTTCTGTAGTCAACGTAATCAGTAGCCCTGTTTGTAAGTACGTGTAGGGACACTATCTCTATTTGTACTGGAGAGTAGAGGTGAGAATAAGTTTTGCAAATACCCTATATGACACACAAATTATATCAATAAGACTTAAGTATCTTTGTAAGTTTAAGGAACATAGTTTGACCTCCCGTCTGCTGATTTTTTCCTAGGAGTAAAGAAAATTGCATTGTGGATAACATCAAAGTGTGTAGTAATGACACTGGCAGTGGGAAATTCAAGTGTATTTGCATCACAATGAGAGTCCCTCGGAACCCAACTATCGGAGATAAATTTGCCAGTCGTCATGGGCAGAAGGGCATCTTGAGCAGGTTGTGGCCAGCTGAGGACATGCCATTTACCGAGAGTGGGATGGTCCCAGACATTTTGTTCAATCCTCATGGTTTTCCCTCCCGCATGACCATTGGTATGTTAATTGAGAGTATGGCCGGGAAGTCTGCCGCCCTGCACGGTCTCTGCCATGATGCTACGCCCTTCACCTTCTCAGAGGAGAACTCGGCCCTACAATACTTCGGTGAGATGTTGAAAGCTGCTGGCTACAACTTCTATGGCACCGAGAGGTTGTATAGTGGCATCAGTGGGCTGGAACTGGAAGCAGACATTTTCATAGGCGTGGTTTATTATCAGCGTTTACGCCACATGGTCTCGGACAAATTCCAAGTTAGAACGACGGGAGCCAGAGACAAAGTCACTAACCAGCCTATTGGGGGAAGAAACGTCCAGGGTGGAATCCGTTTTGGGGAAATGGAGCGGGATGCTCTTTTAGCTCATGGTACATCTTTTCTCCTTCATGACCGCCTCTTCAACTGTTCGGATCGATCGGTAGCCCACGTGTGTGTGGAGTGTGGTAGTTTACTCTCTCCGCTGTTGGAGAAGCCGCCCCCTTCTTGGTCTGCCATGCGCAACAGAAAGTACAACTGTACTTTGTGTAATCGCAGTGATACTATTGACACTGTTTCTGTGCCTTACGTTTTCCGGTATTTCGTAGCTGAACTGGCAGCTATGAACATCAAAGTGAAATTAGATGTCATTTAACCTGGTGTGGCCTTTTGGGTTAGGAAAACCATCAGATTAATATAAGGTATAGTGATGATATTACTCGGTTACTCTGGAGTTTTTCCGAGGGTGTTAGAGTTTTCAACCAAAACCTAGCAACTAAGAATTCAGGCTTTCAGAGTCTGTGCAGTATAGGAACTACTGAAGTTGATTTGTAATACACTTGTTCAAAATATGTTTAAAACCCGATGCATTGGTAAGTAGAAGGATCTACAGGGATGTCTTTCCAACCCCAGGTTCTTTGTATCCCATTTTCAGCAGGCAGTGACCGTCAGACATTTCTCCGGCCAGGGCAGAGCAGTCCAATAGAAATACAGTGCAAGCCATAGATGTAATTTTATATTTTCTTAGATCCACATTAAAGTAAAAGCAAAAGGTGGCTTTATTGAAGTGTAATTGTTCTACAAAACTGCACTGTATTTAATGTATACAATCTGATGGGTTTGAACACATGCATACACCTGTGAAATGATCCTAATCAAGGTAATAAACACCATTTGCACAAGATTCCTTGTGCCCTTTGGGGTCGTGTGTGTTCATTTTTGGTAAAAACACTGAACTTGACATCCACCCTCTTAACAAATGTTTATGTGTACATTGTGGTATTGTTAAGGACAGGCACAATGTCGGACAACAGGTACCTAGAATTCACTCATGTTGTGTGTGTGTGGTTTTTTGTTTTTTTTTAATGTTTTATTTATTTCTGAGAGAGAGGGAGATATAGAATCCAAAGCAGGCTTCAGGCTCTGAGCTGTCAGCACAGAGCCTGATGGGCTGGAACCCACAAACTGAGATCAAGACCCGAGCCGAAGTCGGATGCTTGACTGACTGAACCACCCAGGCTCCCTTCACTCATGTTGTGTTTAAGTGGAATTGGACACCCATTCAACAGCAATTGCCCATTTCCCTCTCCCAGCAGCTCCTGATGGCCATCATTCTAGTTTCCGTGAGTTTGACTAGATACCTCGTGTAAGTGAGATCATGCAGTATTTGTGCTTCTGTGGCTGGCTTATTTCACTTAGCATAATGTCCTTCAGATTTATGTGTGTTGCATATAGCAGAATTTATTTTTTCTCAGTAACACTCCATTTTATGTATATAGCACATTTTCTTTATCTGTTCATCTCTTGATGGACATTTAGGTTGTTTCCATATCTTAGAAATAACGTTCACGTACTATATTTTATTAAATGTAATATAGTCAAGATGCTATTTCCACATGTAATAAACAATTTATTGAGATATCTTACATTTTTTCTTCATACCAGTCTCTAAAATCCAGTGGCTGTTTTTTCTGTGTACAGTATTTCAGTGTGTGAATGTACTGTCCCGTTGATGGGTGTTTGGAAAGTTCCATTCTTTGGCTATTATAAACAGTGTTGGCAATACATAATCATGTATTCACTTGTGAATGTATGCTCTTTGATGTTAAACTTCACTGATAATTCTCGAGCCTGGCTTTAAGTGTTTATTACTATTAAGATGGGTAGGGCTAGACTGAGAATATCCATTCAAAGTATATCCTGGCTTTGCTTCATGAAATTTTTGGAAAGAAATCAGGAAAAATACCTTGAATCTACTGGCTGATACTTCTACCTACTGTTAGTATCCGAACTAAACTTTACTGACCCATTCCAGTCTATCTCACAATCCCATACCTGAGGTAGGTTGTTCAAGTCTTCGGTTTTTTTAGGAGCACTAAAAATGGTAATAAATTTGTTTTAGCTTTTATTTTAAATTATAGATTCATCACTAAAATTGACATTGGGGCAATTCGTAGAGTTGAGACATATTTCACCACTTTTACATGCACTCGTTTGTATGTGTGTATACAGTTCTGTTCAGTTTTATTCATGTGTAGATTGGTGTAACCACCAACATAATCCAGACACGCAGCTATTCTATCACAAGGCTCTCTCATGCTTTTACTTTACAGCTGTACCCACCTCCATCTCCCATCTTTAACCCCTGGCAACCACTAATCTGGTCTCCATCTCTATAACTTTGTTATTTCAAGAATATTATTAAGAAAAATATTGCATAAATGGAGTCATACAGTATGTGACCTTTTAAAATTGGCCTTTAACACTCCATGCAATTCCCCTGAGATCCATTCAGGTGGTGTCTGCCAGTAGTTTATTCCTTCTTACTGCCACTCAGCACTCCATGATATGGAGCACAGTTTAGCTTTTGCCTTTGGGTTTTGGTGGATTATGCTTTTTGGTGTCCTGCTTTAGGAACTCTTCAACCCCAAAGATGTTCTCCTATGTTACCTTCTAAACATTTTACAGTTTTATGCTTCACATTTAAATCTATGATCCATTTATCCATTTGAGGTTGTTGTTTTTTTTGTTTTTTTTTATTTCTAGGAGAGAGAGAGAGAGAGACAGCATGAGCAGGGGAGGGTCAGAGAGAGAGGGAGACACAGACTCTGAAACAGGCTCCAGGCTCTGAGCTGGCAGTCAGCACAGAGCCCGACGCGGGGCTCGAACCCATGAACCGCGAGATCATGACCTAAGCGAAAGTCGGACGCTTAACCGACTAAGCCACCCAGGCGCCCCAATCCATTTGAGTTTTTGTAGAAGATGTGAGGTTCAGATCAAGATTCTTTTTTTTTTTTTTTTTGCCAGAGGATTGGGTGATACATTGTTTCTCTTGGAATGTTGTGTTCCTATAACACAAATCATTATACGCAGTGAAAGGATACAGGTATAGGCAAGATAACACATATGAATGGAATATTATAATAAAACATGTTTTTTTGTTTATTTAGTTAAAAAGTTTATCTGAGAGAGAGAAAGCAGAAGTTAGGGAGGGGCAGAGAGAGTGAAAGAGAATCCCAAGCAGGCTCCACATGGTCAGCACAAAGCCCAACAGCGCGACATGGGGCTTAAACCCACGAACTGGGAGATCGTAACCTGAGCAGAGTCAGACGCTTAACCAACTGAACCACTCAAGTGCCCCCCAAAAGTGAATTTTAATGAAAGAACAGCTATACACAAGAGAAAATAAATTATTTGTCTCTGTTAAGAATGTTGATATAACAAAAAGGAATTGCCCCACTGTGGTCTTTGAAAGTAACTTTATTTAATGGACATCCCATACACCCAAATGGTTGTAACAGGTACTACAAGATCTATTTATAAGATGTTTCAAGTAGGTGTAGTACATCTTCTGATGGTAAGAAGTGTTCCCGTTGGGAAAGTGCTACAATGGGGACAGTGTCAGTGGGACCAGGACCTGTGTGGGACCCACGTGCCTTAGCGCAGCCCTGTGGTGTGGGTGAGGCAGTATAGGACGTGGGGAAGAGACTATGACACCGAGAGCTGGCAGGCAGGAGTACTTCACACCACACCGCCATAGGCTGTCCACACTGCCCTTCCCCTCTTACCAGTTAGTCCCAGTAAGTCTTTTGAACTGCAAGTGTGAATTACTGACAATGATACAGAGTGCAGCCTGTGGCAAAGGGATGCAGGCTAAAGCGCCCCCTGGGGTTTTGGGCCTAGTGTCCTAAGAAGAGAGGAGACACACACAGGTGATGGGAGTGGAGGCAGAGGTGGGCATAGCCCATCTACTAGCTAAGGAACTCCGAGCACTGCCTGCAGCCACCAGCAGCGGGAAGACAAGCATGAACAGATCTCCAGGGCCTCCAGAAGGAAATCACCTGCCAGCCAGCACCTTGATTTTGCACTTCTGGCTTCCTGAATGGTAAAAATGCATTTCTGTTACTTTAATCTACCCAGCCTGTGGTAGTTTGTTACAGTAACCTCGGAATCTAATCCCACTGAGGCTCAGTGCCCTGTGGAGCACAGGTCAGATGGCATGGGTTCTAAGTGTGCAGTTTCCCAGGGTGCCTCCATGTGGATAGAGATTGGTGAGGAGGTCCAGAGTGGCTGTAAGGGAACCAGACCACTTAATTAACCCTTTCCATGCTTCCTTTTCATTCCCAAGTGGTGTAATGTCCTACTAGAAACATCAAATACCATTTTTAAAAGTATTTATTTATTTGTTTATTAGTGAGAGAGAGAGAGACAGAGACAGAATCCCAAACAGGCTCCTCACCTAGCACAGAGCCCAATGTAGGACTCTATCCCATGATCCTGGGATCATGACCTGAGCTGAAATCGAGTCAGATGCTCACCAGAGAACCACCCAGGCACCCCTCAAATGCCACTTCTTGAAGGCAAAGCCAAGAAGCAAGGGCAATGTTCTCTAATCTAGGACCGGTTTCTGCACACCTCCTTTAGCCTATGGCCCACGGCTCTGGAGGACCTGGAAGAGATCGTCACTGGGACCCACGTAGCAGCTGCAGCTTCTGAATCTATCTCCTACTGCTTTTGGGGTGCCATGAATCTGCAGTGGCTGAGGCAGGCACAAGCCATGCTAAGAAGGTGGCCAGGCCCACTGGGAACTCCAGCACCAGGCAGCACCCCAGTGTAGAAGGAAAGGAACTGCCCTGAGTGAGCGGTCAAGGTCTTGCCTAAGAATAGTCTCCAGGAGGCAAAACAGAGCCCAGGAGACCTCACCACGAGGGCACCACACCCTCTGTTCAGCAGCACGCCCGTCATCACTTAGGTTGTTAAGCTAGTGCTTGTTGGTTTCTCTAGGACAAGCCATGGCTTTCACCTCTTCCCCAACCCTCCCTCGCCCACCACCCTTAATACAGGCCTGTGTGGAGCATGGCAGGACCCAAAAAGCAGACCCTCTTCCAAGCCTCACTGGCCCTTGCATAGATTGACAAGTGGCTGGAATCCAGAAGCAGAGGCAGGGATGGATTCATTGCAGTTCCCAGGAATCCTAAGGCTTTGGGCTCTGGAAGAAAAAACCTGGGAGGCATGGGATCCAGGAGACACTTGTGAAAAAGTGAAAGTTAAGGAAAAGTTATGGAAAGCTTCAAGGAAAGTGTTCATTTTTCTTTCTCTCTCTCTCTCTTTTTTAAATTAAGGAGCATAAGGGGCTAAGTCGGTTAAGCACCCGACTCTTGATTTCAGCTCAGGTCATGATCTCATGGTTTGTGTCGGGGTTTGCACCAACAGTGAGGAACCTCCCGGGGACTTTGTCTTTCCCTCCCTCTCTGCCCCTCCCCTGCTCTCTCTCTCTCTCTCAACATAAATAAATAAACCTTAAAAAAAAAAACCACCTGAAATTTATCTTTTAAAACATGGAGAAAAGAAGCCAAGACCAGGAGACCACCCCCCACCGTGCGAGTCCGAGTATGTGGTTTCCTCTAACAATGACCTGTGCCACTATTTCCAGAGGAGGTGCAGTCCTGATGTGCCTGGTCACCAGTCACCTGGCTAGTGAGAAAAGATGTAATGTGGCTGGAAGAGCATGACTGCTCACTGCCATCCTCAGCCTGGAGATTTCACGTGTCTTGGGCTTGTCAGAATCTGCCTCCCACCAATCATGTTCTATAAACTTAAGATCAAGAGGGAGAGCTTCTAGGGGCGCCTGGGTGGCTTAGTCGGTTAAGCGTCCAACTTTCACTTGGGTCATGATCTCGCGGTTCGTGGGTTCGAGCCCCGCGTCGGGCTCTGTGCTGACTGCCAGCTCAGAGCCTGGAGCCTGTTTCAGAGTCTGTGACTCCCTCTCTCTCTAACCCTCCCCTGCTCACGCTGTCTCTCTCTCTCTCTCTCTCCTAGAAATAAATAAAACATTAAAAAAAAAAATTAAAAAAAAAAAAAAAGAGGGAGAGCTTCTAGAAAAGGCAAAAGAGAAAGACCTAGAAGATGAAAGTGGCAGTGAAGCCACCTGAGGGGAGAGGAGCTCTCAGGAGGCCAGGAGACCCACTCCCGGTTACGGTACTCTTCTCTTAACTCCATTAGGAAATCAGTGACATGCCCAGGCACCGTCCCTTCTTGCCACGTGGGCCTCTCAGGGGATCAAGGGTCAGGACTCACTTTGTTGCCAGCTCACAGATCATCTGATCAAAGTTGTTTCTGTGCTGCCATTAGTGGTGGCTCTCAGTATGGCCAGGGATCAAAGCACTGGACAACTCCCTCCAAGTCAGTCACATTCTGCAAGTGCACACTCCCACCCATCCACCCATCACACTCCCTGCCTCTCATCAAATCTGCCATGCCCTACCTGGAGGACTCTGTGCTCCGTGAAATACACAGAAAAACAAATACCACATGATCTCACTTATAAGTAGAATCTAAAACAGTTGAGCTCAGGGGCGCCTGGGTGGCTCAGTTGGTTAAGCGTCCAACTTCAGCTCAGGTTATGATCTCACGGTTTGTGGGTTTGAGCCCCGTGTCGGGTTCTGTGCTGACAGCTCAGAGCCTGGAGCCTGTCTTCGGATTCTGTGACTCCTCTCTCTCTGACTCTCCCCTGCTCATGCTGTCTCTATCCCTCTCAGAAAAAAGAAAAGAAAAGAAAAGAAAAGAAAAGAAAAGAAAAGAAAAGAAAAGAAAAGAAAAGAAAAGGGTATAAACTCAGTTATAAGATGATAAGTTCTGGAGACCTCACTTGAAATTTGCTAAGAGATCAGATATCAAATGTTCTCATCACGCTTAAGTAATGGTAACTACATGAGTTGATGGATATGTCAATCAGCTTGACTGTAGTAATCATTTCACAATGCCTATGAATATCAAAACTATACACCATATACAACCCCCCTTTCTTTTTTGATTTTGAGAGAGAGTGCGTGTGCAGGGGAGGGACAGAGAGAAAGGGAGAGAGAAAATCCCAAGCTCTACACTAACAGTGTAGAGCCTGATGCAAGGCTCAAACTCATGAACTGTGAGATCATGACCCGAGGTGAAATCCAGAGTGGGACACTTAACCAACTATCCAGCCGGGTGCCCCATTCCTTATTTAACAGTATAAATGTTTGTCTGTTTTACTTGCTGCTGTTTCCCCAACAGCTAGAACAGTTACCGGCACATAGAGCAGCGCTTAGTAAGTATCATTCAAGGCAATAACTGGATCTCATTTTATCCTCACACAATCCCTTGAGCATATGGTTTCATTCATTCCACCACGACTCTACCAGACCCCATGCTATGGGTGGGTGGGTAGGGGGAAATCCAGTGGTGACCAGAAGATAGATACGAGGCCTCTTCCCTCGAGGGGTTCCAGGGTCTTAAAGTAGGCAGAAAATAAGCAAACAATTCTGATAGGGCTAGAAAGGGAAAGTACAAAGTGCTCTGTACCATGTGCTCTGCAGATGTCCTTTCGGTTTCCGCTCACAAGGGCATCTTGAAGCAGCTGTTCTGGAGAAAACTGAAACCCAGAGAGCAGAAAGATTCTGTCCAAGATCTCTGATTCAAACCCAGGTCTGCTTCACGCCAAACCCCATCGTCACTTAGGTCTGCCTTACATTTGATCTGTAGAGAGGAAGTTAGTTACACTCTTGCGCTACAGGCCAAAAACCACCTAGAAGCTTGGGGACATGGGTGTCACACTCCCCAGAATATCTCCTGGTGGGTTCTTCATCTTCCCTACTTATGAGCCCAGATCTCTGAACCCTTTCCCTTAAGGAAGCACAGTATCCAGACTTCGAGATTAGACTCAGGAAGTGGCAAGGGGCAGGTTAAGATTTCATGTTCCCAGAAAAGGAAAATGAGGATTCGGTCCACAAAATGTTCTCTGTCATTGATGGGGTTTCCTTGCCCTTTTCTCCTACCAGAAATACACCTGGAAGTTTTTGCAGGAAGGAAGGAGTGCTTTGGGTGAGCTTTCCTTCAGTGCTCATGGCTCCAAACCTATTCCTGTCATCTGAAGCAGGCTCAGACGGCCAGTGGCACAATCTTATATGGAGGGCCAACCGGAGCAGCAAAACCTAACAGCCTCCTCTAACAGCTCTCACTTATCCGGAACTCCTGAAGGTCCAGGCTCTGCCTTAAACTATTTACATGCACTGTGCTCTAAGTAAAGCACGTGACTATCATCATCCTCATTTTACAGATGAGCACACCAATACTCCAAGTCGTTGCCACTTGCTCACAAACACCTCTTGTTCCTCAAACACTATGATGAAGTGCACTCTATGTTCGTTTTGGCTGGAGTCTGGGAAGACCCCTACATATTAGACTGCTCGGCTGATGCTCAGTCTTTGCCCAAGATATACGGACGGGTGCTCAGCCTCACAGGTGGGGAAACGTACCATGAGGCTTCACACTGGACGACAGGGCAGGAGGTGGAAGCAATACCCTGCCAGGAGGAATCACAAAGAATTACGCATGCTCATAACCACGTGGAGCCAATACTAAAACTCAAGTCCGGCCTGGCTCCAGGGCTCATAACAAGGAGGGGGTCTGGTCTGGATAACTCAGGCACAGCCGATGGGACGTCCAGGTCGGCTAGTCCCATTCTTGCGGTGACCACCCCCGCCCCCGTCCCCGTCCCGAGGCTCCGTGCGCGTGTACGAACCAGCATCCCGAGGGGACAGGGAGCGCTTGAGGAAAACGGAAGGTGGCACCGCGGCGCCCAGCAGCCCGCAGCCACGGTTCCCAAACTAGCCACCAACAGCGCCACGTTGATAGACGGCCGCAGCCCCTCGCCACCAGACCCCGGAGGGTGGATAAGAGCGCGCGCAGTAGCGGCCACGCCTTACTTCCGGTGCATTGCGGCGTCACCCCCGCAAGCCGGAAGTAGAAGTGGGGTAGAACAACCGAGTCGTCCTGGGGGCCCGCGGTGGCTGCGCAGGCGCCGCCAATACAGGCGGGACCGGAAGGAAACGCAGGGCGCCGCCATGACAGGTTGGTCGTAAAGGGAATGAGGCAACTTGCCCGGTCTGTGACCGGAAGAAAGGAGGCAGGGACAGCTGAGCTGGGCGCCACCATGACACCGTGCACCGGAAAAGGCGGGGCGCTCCTCCCTGACTGATTTCGCACCAGCACCGGCCTCGAGATGTGAGTAGCGGGAGCGCCAACCTCCGATCAGCTGCCTCACCCCTTCCCTTCCCCAGTGACCTGCACCTAGCCCGACACTCCAGGAAGAAGGATTGGCCTCTTTGTTCCTCGAAGAACCTACCCTTAGGATTCAGTGCCGTCTATTACATATTCCATCTCCGCGTGGGAGAGAGGGAGGCCCCGCCCTCTGAACGTTTAGGCTCCGCCTGTCTCGTAGTAACAGAGGACTTTGAAGCCCGTGTCAAACACCCAGTCCCTGCCCCCGGGATCCCAGGTCCGGTCCCTCACCCTGCAGACTTCAGAATTGTCTCGGGACTTCTACGATTTTTTAGACCCTTTCTTAGAGCTCTGGGTTCGTCCACCTAGATCACCTGACCATACATTTTTGCACCTTTAGATCTGTGCAGTACCGCAGACTTCCCATGTAGAGCCCACAGACTTATTCTTAGACCTCTGGTTCCACTTTGGATTTCTAGATCTTGTTCCCCAGAACAAGTGGTTACGTCTTGGGTACTGCGGAATACCTACAAGCTATCCCAGAGCTATCCCAGAGCCCCATTCTCACCCAGGACTTCCGCATCATGTCCCTGGAACTCAGACCCACCCCAGGACTCCAAACCTACCTCAGGGCCTCAAGTCTCACCTCCAGTACCACTGTCCTCAGGCCTAATCTCAAAGACTCTCTGCTTAGGAGGCCCTTCCGCAGTACCCAAGACGTAACCACTTGGACTTGTAAACCTATTTTTAAGATCTCCAGGTCTCTTTAGGGTTTGCAGATTTTTTCCCCCTAGAACTCAGTATATTATTTCTAAGGCCCTGTTGAGGGATGCCTGGACTCCGAAGACCCTTCTTGCCGGATCCCAAGGTTGCATTTGAATAATTAAGGTCTTAGTGGAAAAGATCCCCACTATCTTCCCAGAAACCTCCCAGCCTATTCCACATTCCCCAGGGCTCATGCCTTACCTCTCCCTCCACCTCCCTGGCCCTATCCCAGGATCCTTCAGATTCCCTGATCTGTCCAGGATCCCTCGGGTTCCCCCCGCCCACCTCCAACCCAGACCAGAACTCTTTCTTGTCTGTTGCCTAGAATTATTTTCAGCCCATTATGTCCCACAGGCAGGCGGCCCTGGAGGTCACTGCTCGCTACTGTGGCCGCGAGCTGGAGCAATATGGCCAGTGTGTGGCGGCCAAGCCTGAGTCATGGCAGCGGGACTGCCACCACCTAAAGATGAGTATCGCTCAATGCACATCCTCCCAGTGAGTGTGGGCAAATATGAGATACTGTGTGGCAGGGGGCGAGAGGAGGTGGGCAGTGGAGTGGAAGTCTGAATGCCTGAAACGCTCTACCTCCACAGCCCAATCATCCGGCAGATCCGGCAGGCCTGTGCTGAGCCTTTTGAGGCCTTTGAGGAGTGCCTTCGACAGAATGAGGCAGCAGTGGGGAACTGTGCAGAGCACGTGCGCCGCTTCCTGCAGTGTGCTGACCGGGTGCAGCCACCACGCTCCCCCTCGACTGTGGAGGTGAGGCAGGGGGTTTATCAGTTCTAGTTGCTCGGATTAAAAATCTAAGAGTTACCGCCAGCCCCACCCTACCCCCCCACACAGACCTGCTCCATGCATCCAGAATCCAGAACATGATCACCTCTTGCCCCTTCCCACAGCCTCTGCTTTATAGTCCAGCCACTTCCCTGACCTATTCACCTCCAGGATCCCTGCTCCAGCCTTTTCCTCGGTCTCCCTGAATCTCCTCTTACGTGCCTCCATACAGTGGCCAGAGAGAGCATATAGGAGCTGAAAACGAATCACATTACATTTGCGCTTAGAGCTCTTCCATAGCTTCCCATTCACATTGAGAACAACATCCCAGGTCCTTGCTGGGTTCTCTGTGTTCTTTCTCAGGCTGACGTCATCCACCTCCTTCCTTACCTGCTCTGTGTTCCCTTCCTCGCTGCCCCTCAGTTATGCTGGGTGAGGGGGTGAGGAGAGAGTAAAAGAGTCTTACTCTATTTAATGAATACCGTACATAAACAAATATGCAGTATAACTATGGTATTAAAATTTTGTGGGTGGTTGTGATTTTTTCAAAATATCTATACAGACCTCATGGGGAGCAGTAATAAAAACAAAGTTGAGGGGCGCCCAGGGGCTCAGTCGGTTATGGGTCCGACTTCAGCTCAGGTCATGATTTTGCAGTTTGTGAATTTGAGCCCTTCTTTGGGCTCTGGAGCCTACTTCAGATTCTGTATCTCCCTCTCTCTCTGCCCCTCCTTTGCTCACACACTCTCTCTCTTTTTTAAAAATAAATAAACGTTTAAAAAAACAAAGTTGAGAAACACTCCTTTAGATGTCTACTGCCCACCCTCCTCTCCACGGGATGGACTGTGAACTCCTAAGACAAAAGTCACATCTTGCACTACCTCCCTCTTAACACCCTGTCATTTGGGCCTCCATGGCTCTCTATTATCCCTTTCAGTCCATTCTCTCTGATGGTCCCAGAGCAATCCCAGAGGAAATCTGACCATGTTCTACTTCCCTTAAGAAACCTTTCCATGACTCCTCATCTCCACCAGGCCAGGTCTCAACGCTGGCACAGCCTCTAGGTCCCTGCGTGGTGTGGACTCTGGCCCCACCACTCCCCACCTTCCATCTCAGCTCTGCGTTCCGGCCCCAGTGGACATGCGTTAAGTGCATGCATGTCTGTCCTGCTGCCAGGCTGTTACCCAACTGTTTCCTTCTGCCTGGACTGCCCTTCTAGGCCGCCTGGCTGCTTGCTACTCTGACTTAGATATAAAGTCCCTCTGAAAATCTCCCGTGCTAACCTGTCCCTGTCTCCAGGTACCCACTGCCTCTTGAGCTCCCTCCATCATGGCTTATAACTCACTGCCTTGTAACTGCTTCATTCCCATTGCCTGTTTAAGAGGAGTTCTTGGCTAAAGGTTGAGGAGATGCCTTTCTGCCAGGCCCTGTAGTCCTTGTTTTGTTTCGTTTTAATAAGGCAGTAATAAATGAAAAGTTCAGCCCTTAAGAGCCGACATTAGCAGGAAGGACTTTTAATTCTTTTTTTTTATGAATATAATTTATTGTCACATTGGTTTACATACAACACCCAGTGCTCATCGCAACAAGTGCCCTCCTCCTAGCCCATCACTCCCTTTCCCCTCTCCTCCACCCCCCTATCCACCCTCAGTTGTTCTCTGTATTTAAGAGTCTCTTCTGGTCTGCCTCCCTCCCTCTGTAACTTTCTTTTCCCCTTCCCCTCCCCCATGGTCTTCTGTTAGTTCCTCAAGATCCACATATGAGTGAAAACATATGATATCTGTCTTTCTCTGACTGACTTATTTCACTCAGCATAACACCCTCCAGTCCCATCCACTTTGCTGCAAATGGCATGATTTCATTCTTTCTCATTGCCAAGTAGTATTCCATTGTATATATAAATCACATCTTCTTTATCAGGTCTTTTAATTCTTAGAAAATATTTAGTAATGATTTCATACTGTTCACATTAGTTTCTTAATCTATATGTTGGTCATATGTTAGTCATAGGTTTTTTTGGTTTTTTTTGAGTTTTTTTGGCATATGAACAGTAAAGACCTCACCTTCCCATCTTAGAGCTAATTGTTTCCTCCCTGGGTAAGCAGCCAGCCTCTCCCTGGTCTTCCCTGTGGCCATCCTGCCCCGCCGCCCAAGTCTACTCACCCCTGGCAGCCAGAGGAACTTGTAAAAATGGCAATTAGGTCACAGCTCTCCCCTTTACAGCCTTGTCATAGCTCCTCAGTGCATTCAGAGTAATCACCACCACACCCGCTCCTACTCACCGTCCTCCTCCTTCTGGGTAATGGCATCCCAGGTGCAGCTTTCCCTGCCTGATTGCGGGCAGCGAGATGCCAGCCTCCTCTATTCTCTGATCTATAAAGTGGCAAACATACAGCCAGTCTCATCTCAGAAAATATGATATAAAGACATTTTATGTTCATGTAGCTGACAATTAGAAGTGCTACCTATACCTCCCCCTCCACACACACCCTGATTTACTTTCCTTCGTAGAATTTATCCAGTTGACATATTTTTTTTTTTAATTTTTTTTTAAATGTTTTATTTATTTTTAGGAGAGAGAGAGAGAGACAGCATGAGCAGGGGAAGGTCAGAGAGAGAGGGAATCACAGAATGAAACAGGCTCCAGGCTCTGAGCTGGCAGTCAGCACAGAGCCCGATGCGGGGCTCGAACCCACGAACCGCGAGATCATGACCTAAGCGAAAGTCGGTCGCTTAACCGACTTAAGTCACCCAGGCGCCCCCCAGTTGACATATTTTTATTTGATTAATTGTTGTCTGTCTCTTCCTTGAGTTGGAAATTCGTGCCTGCTTCATTCACTGCCGTGTAACAATGTTAGAGAGCAGGTGCTAAATAAATGGTGACTTCCCTGCTCCCAGTGACAGCTCACTGTCTGACAGGTTTACGTGGTAGATGGCCGTGGTGATCACCTAATACTCTCTCCTTCCAGACTGTGGACTTGGCAAGGGCAGCCTCTGCTGTGTCCATAGAATCTCCCCAATGGTGGTCCCAGGGCCAGGCACAAAGAAGGTGCTAGTAGATGTTGATGTGTTTTTTCTATAGGCACAGCCGCTTCCTGCCTCCTGAGGACTCTTTGAGCCATTGGAAAACGATGTGAGTGGCCACTTGATGCCCCTATCCCTGAAGAGTGGCCAGGTGAAGTCATGAGGACCCTGGATGTGGGTCTTGCTTCTCTGGACAGCAGGACTCACAATAAATAAAGACTCTGTATACTGGGCTTTGATTCCTGCCTTCAGCATGGAGGGGGCCCTGGAGACCTGGCTGGGCAGAAATCCTGCTCCTCTGTCCCCAGCTTCACTTAGTGTGCCAAGGCAGGGCCTGTTCCCCAGGATTACGATGACTCCTCTTCCCTTGGTAACTCTGCCAACTGCCATTTTCTGTCTCCTGCTGCACAGACATGGGAAAAGGCTTTCTCCCACTTCCACTTTAGCATTTACCAAATCTTTATTGAGTGTTTACTTAAGGCTTAGAGGGCAATAAATATCACACTTCTTTCCCCCCTGAGTTTTGAGCCACCTGTGTGATAGACATGCACACTAGGCGATGGGGCTGGAAATACTAGCTTTATTATTGAAAACATCTGCATTGTGGGATGTGGCTTAGTCTGCTGTCCTGGACTTCTGTCTTGGTTTGTGCTCTTCCAGAGTCTATCCCTGAGAACTGGAGTACAGATAGTATATTTGGAATGTGTGATTCTAGAAGCATTTGGAAGGGAGTGGAGAGGTGAGGCAGGCAGGCAGCCAATAAAAGGTGCATTATCAGGCCAGTCACCACAGCGGGCAGTGGACTCAATTCAAGGGACAAGGAGGTTGGTCATCAACTCCCCATCTGTCACTGGGGCTATTTCCATGGGCACTGACCATCTAGCACCTCTACGTGCTCCATGTGTGGTCATGTGTCCTGCCATCAAAAGAGCCCTGAGCGGAGAGTAATGGAGAATCAAGTAAGCATTGAGTGTCAAGAATGCTGAGTAGGTGTGGGCAGGGACCAGCAGTGGCTGCCATAACTCCTGAACATTCCTCCTCAGGAGTGCATGTTCTGTGGCCCCAACTGGTTGATTATAGGCTCCCCAGCAGGGCCAGGTCCTAAAGGACAGAGGCCAGACAGACACGTGTGTAGGAGAAAGAACCCCAGGTGCCTCATTGGTGTGCCCAGGGCCCGCAGCCAGATTCACCATTCAGACATGTCACCTCCCCCTGTAGGTGACTCCAGACTTCCAGAAATTAGAAATGACTGGCCAGTGCTGACTGAACTGGCTATTTGAAACCTATGGCTTGTGGGGCTCCTGGGTGGCTCAGTCAGTTAAGCATCCGACTTCGGCTCAAGTCATGATCTCATGGTTCGTGGGTTTGGGCCCTGCGTCGGGCTCGGTGCTGACAGCTCAGAGCCTGGAGCCTGTTTCAGATTCTGTGTCTCCCTGTCTCTCTGACCCTCCCCTACTCACACTGTCTCTCTCTCTCTCTGAAATAAAAAAACGGGAAGAAACCTTAGGCTTGTGCTTTGGCTCAGAAAAATGAGCTAGAGTATGTCTTCCTCAGGATTTGATTGTTAAGAGAAAGTTGTCAGTTGGCTTGGGAGCTAAGTCCTGCCGTCAGGTTTGCAAGAGCTATCAGATGCCAGGTGGCCCAAACCAGAGAAAACCCAGACAGAGAGAGGGTTGTGATCAGTTTCTGTGGTCCCTAAAAGGACCGCTTGGGTCCTGGTGGCTTTCTGTTCCCAGCTCCAGTTTCCTTGGGCTGTGGATTGAGTCCTCGGATTGCTTGGTATTCAGTCAACCCCACTTTGTGTGGGTAAGCTTGAGTGGGGTTCTGCTCCATATAGCTAAAAGAACTGTGATAAGAACAGACAAAACAGGTCAAGACTACGTAGAACCTCTCAAAGTAGCCTCCCTCCCAATAGGCTAGACCAGCTTCCTTATCTGGTGGTATCAGGGGTCCAAGAGAGCAAAAATGGAACTGTCAAAGTCCTTTTTTTATCACATTCTGTTGGTCAATGCAAGTCACGAGTTCAGCCTAGGTTAAAGGGGTGGGGACACTCCACCTCTTGATGGCATTTGGCTGCAAGGAATTTTGCCCACATTTAAACTGCCATAAAAACTTTAATAGTTTCTATTCCTGTTGTGAATTGTGTTTAGGAATTTTTCACATGATCTAAATTCTCAAATTGCCATAAATTCGTTCATAATATCCTCATAATCTTTTTAATGTCTACAGAATCTATGTGAAAGCTGCTTTCTCATTTCTCATATTGGTTATTTTTACCCTCTTTGTTTTCTACTTATTCAATCTTGATTAGTTTACCAATTTATCAATCACAGAATTTACTTTTGGCTTTGTCGATGTTCTTTGTGTTGTATATTTGCTTTTAATTTAATTATCTTCTTTATAATTACCTTTTTCAGATTAATTTTGTTTTCTACCTTTTTTTAAAGTTTTTTTTCTGAGAGCGCTCTCTCTCTCTCTCTCTCTCTCTCTCACACACACACACACACACACACACGAGCAATGTGGGGGAGAGGCAGAGAGAGAGAATCCCAAGCTGACTCCACACTTTTCAGCCCAATGCAGGGCTTGAATTCATGAATGGTGAGATCATGACCTGAGCTGAAATCAAGAGTCGGGCACTTAACCAACTGAGCCACCCAGGCACCCTGTTTTCTACCTTTTTTGAAAGGAATGCTTAACTTACTGAGTTTTAGCCTTTTTTTCTTTTCTTTTTCTTTTCTTTTTTTTTAAAATATTTTTATTTATTTCCAGGAGAGAGAGAGAGACAGCGTGAGCAGGAGAGGGTCAGAGAGAAAGGGAGATACAGACTCTGAAATAGGCTCCAGGCTCTGAGCTGGCAGTCAGCACAGAGCCCGATGCGGGGCTCAAACCCACGAACCGCGAGATCATGACCCAAGCGAAAGTCGGACGCTCGACCAACTAAGCCACCCAGGCGCCCCTAGCCTTTTTTTTTCTTTAATGTTTATTTTTGAGAGAGTGCAAGTGGGGGAGGGGCAAAAAGAGAAAGACACAGAATCCCAAGCAGGCTCCAGGCTCTGAGCAGTCAGTACAGAGCCTCACACGGGGCTCGAACTCATGAACGGTGAGATTAACCTGACTACATCACCCAGGCACCTTGTCTTTTTACTTTTTTAATGTATGTATTTAAATTTCCCACAAAGCAAGCCTTTCTGTTTTGGATTTTTCATTGATCCCAGCTTATTTAGAAGTTTAAAACTGTATTTTTAAATTTCTAAGCATATGGAGATTTTTCTAGTTATCTTGCCTAATTGCAATTGGGTTGGGAACACATTTTATGTGGTTTCAATCTTTTGAAATATGTTGAGACTTTACGGCTTGGCATAGGGTCAGCTTTTGTTAATGTGCCATCTGTGCTTGAATCATAATCCTTGGTTCATAATGCACTATCTTATGTGGGGTTCCCCCTGAAATAGACTTTGAGGGAAGGCACTGGGAGATGACCCCAGAAAGCACTGGTAGGGCAGAGGGAAGTGAAACAGAAAGGGAAAGCAGCACATCAAGGCTGCATTATCAAGCAGGTTATCGCTGGACAACAGCTTAATTCTCTGGGGAACTCTGGGAAACAGTGGAGAACATAGCCTTCCCACTCAAGAGGTAGGGGTATTTATACACTAACCCCCATTAGGATTTAGTTCAGGGTCACTTAGGGGACTGGAGTTTAAATTCCCTGCTACTTCCTATTTTTCAGATACAAAGGGAGAGTGGATTTTGGTGGAAAGAAAGCTCTCTAGCAGAGAGCAGCTGGCTCAATGCAGCTCACTTCAGTGGTAGCCACCCTGCGGCCACTCATTACAATGGCCACCACCCATTGCCACAGCCGCCATTGCCCCAGCCTGTCATGGCTGCCCTAACAGCAGCCACCATCATCTCAACTACATTTGCTGCCTGTCGCTGCTGCCTCCCATCACCGCATCCCATCACAACTGCCATTGGTGGAGGTATTGCAGTAACAGAATGCTTTCAAAATGTTTGACTCAGTTCACAAAGAATGGCTACCTTCAACTAAGGAGGCTAGCTAGAAGTGGTGGGCAGGAAGGCTGGGGGAGTACTGAGAACAGTGTGGGGGAGGGACAGATGGCGGTGTAGGGGGACGTGTGCAGATGCAGAAGTGGTTGAGTGAGCTGATGACCCTCAGGATTCTGAGGAGGCAGAAAATGGCAGCCAAAGGAGTGCAGGGGTGAGGAGGTAGGGTATGTGTAGCAGAAAACAGCATGTGTTCAGCAGTCTCCCATTTCTCCTTTGGTGGTTGAACTGAGAATTTGTGCTTGCCACTGACTATACTGACTTTGTTGGTAAAGGTCATCAGAATAAGAATGATAATATTTCAGTCAGTACTTCCCTTCAGTGGGCAAGCACCTTGTTTATGCTGTGAAAAACTTTCAGTCAGAATACACGCAAATAGAACCAGATTCTCTAAGGAAATTCATAATCCTGATAGCAAGTTGTCAGGGCACCTGACTGTCTCAGTTGGTAGAGCTTGATCTTAGGGTCATGAGTTCAAGCCCCATGTTGTGCATAAAGTTTAAAAAAAAGAAAAAAGAAAAAAAAAGAAAGACAAGCTGGCTTCTACCATAAAGTATGTTGCTTTTAAAAAGTCTGAGGCCACACCCTAGAGCAATTAAATCAGAATGTTTTACGGTGAGACCCAGACTTTGGTATTAAAAAAATATATACCAAGGGTACCTGGCTGGCTCAGTCAGTAGAGCATATGACTCTTGATCTCTGGGTTGTAAGTTCAAGCCCCAAGTTGGGCATGAAGCCTACTTAAAAAAAAAAAATGTATATACTGATTTGAAAATCTATTTCATTGTGCAGACAAGGCTGGGAAGCATTGTCCTAGTGGAATTTCTCAATTTTGGTTGATTGTGTTTTATAATGTTAACATGCTTGGAATTAAAGGCTTGAAAGCTGTTGAGCCTATTTTGAAGTCCCTGATGATACAGAAATTTCAGAGTCCAGGGAGCCCATGAGTGTCACAATAGCATTTCTTTTTAAACCCAATAAATATTTACCAGTGAGGTGGTGACATGAACCAAGGTCAGACCCAAGTAATTTGAGTACCTTCCCTCTTCTCTAATGGGCCAGACATTATAGGATGCATGGTGTGTCAGGTCAGCTGGACAGAAGGAAAGAGTGTCACTCTGAAAAGTATTAGGAAGTAGCAAAAATGCCAAGGACATGGACAAGATTG